TTTTTTTTTTTTTTTTAAATAAAAGCCTGAAAATCATAAATAAAAATACTCTAATGTACAAATCTACTCACTGCTGTTCATCGTTATTGGGCAACTCCCGCATTGCGGAACGAGGGTTTAAACCTTTGTGAGTCTCAGACACTGGCAAAGACCTCTTCTTTGAATGAAATGGAAGCAGATCTGTGAAGGATCACAGGGCTAAATCTGTTTCTAAAAGATGTCCCTGCCAAGGCATTGCTCCGTTGTATAAGTGCATGTAATTACATTTTGTTACTATCCTCTTCCGACATTAGGCTACAAGCAGACATCACATTTATCCTGGAATAAACCATCTTATCCCAGGACAAAGTGCAAGTGTTTAGATGTCCGTGTCCATGGTCCTGGGATAAATCCTAAAGAAGTTGGTGGGATAAATAGTAGTAACAATTCATCCCAGGACATCAGAAAGTGCATCTGAACAGTTATCCTGGAGTTGCATCATTGAATCAGTGGCAGAAAAGCAGCAGCACATTCAGCCACTCGCCTCAGGTGCCAATCCTGGGATGTTTCTGTTCCAGGACAAACAGGCACAACTTGTCCAGGGATAAACACATCTGTTCCTAGCCTTAGTGGGCCAGACACACAAGGCAGGATCCCTCAAAGGATGGAAACACTGCAGTGCTAGTTGTACGTGCAGTGTGCAAGCGTATATGTAGGGTAGTTGCGTGTCTGCTGTTCCTAAAGAGTGGCAGCCTAGCATGTCTGCTCCCACCTTGGGGAGAAGCAACTTAAAGAAATCTAAAACACACTATATTTCAAATGGTTTGGCATCTTCATCATCCTGCCCATTGAGGCGACATTCCCTCGTGAAGCCTTCCAAGGTCTTTTCCTATTAATAGGAGCTCTTGGACTAGTGGGAGATGAGAGCCAGAAGACTGGCAACATGCAGGATGAAATGTGAAAATGGAAATGCTTTTCAGCTTATCAAATTGACTGACCCAGTGTTTACCCCTTCCAAGGTAATAACTTCTTGTGTCTTAACTACAAGCTAAATTGCTGGCGGCAGCTCTTAAATACAATTTGGTGGTGTTTACACTAGAGGCTGGATCTGAGCACTGGGAGAGGAGCCAGCCACTCCAGCCCTAATCCTGGCTTTGGCTAAGTCCCTTGGGGATTTAAGATAAGCATCAAAATCCCCTCCCCTGCAGCCACCTGAGCTGGGAAAACATTAGCTTTACGCGCTTGTCAGGTTTTTTGTGGAGAGGCGACTGAGGAGCTATCCTTCAGGGTTGCTGTGAGAATTACTCTGGCAACCCTTGTTGTGTGAGCCGCCTTTGCATGGTTTATCTGGATAGCATTTAAATGTGATGGGAGATGAACACCATGGAGAACTCTGCCATAGAGAAATAGGAACATTTGCTTGTGAGGAAAAGGTTTCGCTGCTGTTAGCCAGTGTTACAGGTGGTAGAAAGGAGTAGCTTGCCATTAAAATCTGCTTTTTCTACCTCTGAAACTGGCTTTAAAGGTGAAGTCAAGCTTTTTACACACCAGGGTCTGAACTCATGGGTCTGTTTCTTCTGTAACTGGTGACACTGTCTGGGACCCAGTGTCCGAGTGGCTGTAAGCACCCACTTCCATGGATGTGAATGAATTGCACAGACCCAGCACTTTGCCTCCCAGCTCATCCTGAAAGTAATTTGGTCTCAACTAAAGTACTGTTTGCCATAGTCCTGCCAGGCCTCTCGCCATGCCAAGCTATTGTAAACTGCTTGATGCTATTACAGTACTTGGTGAATGCCAGGATACCTTAGGCAGCAGAGAGAGAGCATCCCAAAGCACTCTCTTACCCCCAGCTGCCCACAAGTAACACACTATTCAAGAGCAACGCTGCTTTAAGAACAGGACCTATTACTGCACATAGTGGGCAAACCCGAGAGCACTCAAGTGTCAGGCTAGATTTTGCCCTGTGTAACCTGCCGCCTTTTGGTACAAATTGCATCACTGAGCTGGAACTGGCTGTCAAAGAAAAAGCAAGACACTTATATTAGCAGCTTCAGGTCAAAGTGCTGCTCTAACAGCTAACACAGCTGCTGTTGGTCCTTACCTCTTCTCTTCCCTGGGAGTGTGCAGTGCCTGCAGTTGCTTCTAAATAGCAGCAGCAACAGGCCTCGTCCATGAGCACACGTACAGATTACTGGGACACACTCTGAAACACTTAGCAGGCAGCTACCACTTACATTTCAGTCTGGTATGGACCAATCTTTTTGGTAGTTGTGCTGCAAATTTGTCTCCCCTAGTGTCACTGTGCTCCCTGACCTATCTACCACTGCTGGTTGACTACCTCTGTCATAGTCTTTCTTGCTGTAAGTATATTACAAGCCAGCATTGAAAGATCTTGAGACTTTTGCTACTAGTCTTTTGCACAAGCTTAGCAGAGGACACTTCTACCACACCTGGAATTTGCAAAGAGGAAGTTCTCTATTCTTACTAGAACAGAACTCAGTCACAGCCCAAAGCTTGTCTTCCTGGAGAGGTGGAATTGAACTCAGCTATTGGTGCACTATAAAGCCCTCTGGTGGGAAGAGCAATGGAGGCTGCACACTCAATAGAGGCAGGACAGCCCCAAGTAAAAGCTGCTAGATGGAAAGACAAGGAGCCCAAGGCTGCAAGGTTGGTCCATGCTCATGTCTGCACATTTGGGGGGTGTTTCTGGACAGGGGCAGCTCTGCAGGGAGAAGAACACAGGAAGCTGCTGCGCGTACAGGGCATGTAAGTAAGGTAGTAGCAGACACACACATGAGCCCAGGTAATTGTGAAGGTTGCATCTGACAGGGCTGCTCTAAAAAGTCTCAAGGCCAACCGCTCTTGCCCCAACCAGCTGGGAAAATAGCTAATGGCTCCACAGGAGCAGAAATGCCTAATTCTTTCTGAGCCCTCAAAAGCTGCAACGCTTTGGGCTGTAGCTTGACTGGGCTTTGTATACACCCAGCTTCATGTCCCACAAAGCACAGCTCAGCCTTGACAATGCAAAGAAGCCAACATGTTTCAACAAGTTTACTTCTTATACAAAACTTCTACATCCACGTGTAGTACAGCATCAGTACAAATAACTGATTATAGGATGCAAAGGGAGAGTGCAGAGCTGTCAGCCTGGAGTAGTTCTTCAGTGCTCATTCAAAGCCCCTGCAAGAAGGAATCACAATAGCAGGGTGTTCAACAGCCAGAATGCAGTCACCATCAATATACCCAAAAGCTGAGTTAGAATAGTTTAGGTCAACTTATAACCAACTTGTCCTTGGTAAGTGGAAAATGAGCTGGCAAGGGAGTTGGGCAAAACCCTTCCCACTTCCAGAGGGCTCCAGGCCAGAGTCTTCAGGCCCTGCAGACAAGGCCACTCAACTCAGCATAGGTTTCAGAAGCTTCCCTTTGGTGCAGAAGACACCTTTCTAGAATAGATACTTCCCCCTGCCGGCCACAGCTAGGAACTCCAGCCTTGGGTCCTGCCCAGATCCCAAGCCAGGCAGGCATCCTGGCTAAAACTATCTACTTTGGTTTGTCTGCAAGGTGCAACTCAGCCCTCCACCAACGCAGGCAGAGACCCAACCACCATTACAAACACTGCTGGCATGTGGCTCCTAAAGGCTGATGCCAAGGAGGCAGGATGGAGACACCATCAGTCTAGCTCAATGTAGCCTGCAAGCTTTAGCAAACGTTACCGGATGAGATGTGCTATTTCCCAGTTGGTTTCAAGGGAGCGAGGTTCTTCAACTTCCACTCCTTTCTCTGTTACGACAGCAATTTGAAACTGTAAAGGAGAATAACAGCAAGAATTTGCAGGTGTGGTCAGAATGACAGGCAAATTAATGTGTTAGGGCCCAAGGAGACGTCATCACAAAAAGGACCAGGGAAATTGTTTCAGCAGAACAGTTCACTTGACTTTCAACCTGTGCTCTGCTGTCTACACCCAACACAATCCTGTACAGTTAGCTGAAGCACTGAGTACCCCATGGCCCTGTTCCAGAACACCTCTCAGTTTGGCAGGCTCCATAAGTCCACACAGCCCCCACTTCTCTCTGGGACAGTGTGAAGTTTCAGTAGCTATGAAGTTGGGGACAAACTGCCAAGAGGGTAATGTACTGTGCCTGAAGGTGACTTGCGGTGACGCCCAAGAGCTGGTGCCAGCCTAGCCCAGCCCACCCAAAGCAGGACACTTACTCGATTGAATGACCGGGCATCCCGGTAGTAGAGGATTTTCATGCAGCGCTCAATCAGGTCCTGTGCCTCCTCCTTCGTCAGGATGGGTTTCTTCTCCAGAGTTTCCCTCATCAGTGGCTGAAGAAAAACAGACCTTCAAGCACTAGGCAGCACTGGCCTGAAGCTGCAGCTACTCCAGGCTGGTTAGCGGACCTAGGATGTGGCCTCGAGCCTGGGCCTCCCACTCCCTGCCCCAAAGCACTCACCTGAGCTAGATAAGCTCCATACCCTGTCGCCAGCGTCGGGGCTTCATAGGCAACACCCAGCATGTCCACATAACCTAGGAAACTGAACACAGACCGTGGGAGACTGGTTACTGCCTGTGCGGGGGTTATGGGATGTGGTGCCATTCCTGGCTCCAGTTTATAAAAGAAAGTCCAATACCAGCTTAAGCAGCGAGTCAGCCCCCTTGCCCCTGCCCCTCAATAGCAGGACGACTGCAGTACACACCACCCTGCTGGACTGAGGGATTTCTGGCCTCCAAGCCTGCTGCTCCCCCTCCCCCTCCAGGTGCTTTCTGAACAGAACTCAGGTGCTCCCTGTCTGACAGGTTGGATCAGAGTGGGCCTGTTCATATGCAAGAAGTGCATGGATACCATGAAAGCCAGCTCCTCCCTGAAATGGTTTGGGAAACAGCCAACAAACAGTAAAAGGCAAGTCTGAAACACTGGCTGTCTCATCTGGGGCAAGCCTTGTCCTACATAGCCAGTGGTACATAGGGAAGGCAGGGCACTGAGTGCTCACTTTATTCTTCCCAGCTGGCAGGCCAGGCCTGTGCACAAATGAGGCCCTTTCAGATGTAGCTCCACATGCTAGTTAAGGCAACTGTGTGCAGCTAGGGCTGAAAAATCCAAGCAGGGGAAGGGAGGGCAGACCTGGGGGCTGTCTCACTGACTGCAAGAAGGTTCAGGCCCAGTCAGAGAGGAGTGGTACTCTGAGACACCACATCACCTTTCCAAGCAGCTCCCCCAGCACTTCACACTCATTGTGTGTAGGCTCTTCCTTGTTCAAGCCACGAGCAAGATCAGCTGGCTCCCACAGCACAGCAACACCATCACAGTGGGGATGCTGTGCACCCAGGCCAGGCTCACCTCTCGCCGTTGTAGAAGCCTCCAATAACAATGGTGTTCCAGAGTGGGTTCATCTTGCATCGCCGGCTGTACATGGCTCGGGTCAGCCAGGAGTGAATGGCCTTTGGACTGTAGCTGTGCCCATCACCCAGCAGTTCCTCATCGATTCTAAGGGGAAGTTTGATGCCACTCAGAAAGCGCTACTAACCCCCCAGCCTACATACATGCATCTGCCGGCAACTGCTGCCCGCCCCACCCACTGCCAGGAAAAGGAAGAGGTGCCACACGCTAAGCCCCAACCAGCCCGTCGGCACAGGCAACTCGTACCAGAGTTCATCAGCCAAAGACCCAGGGGCCAGCAAAGACAGACCCAGCATCGAGCTGATAGGAGATTTAAAGCCGCAACTCGACAGCGCAGCATAACGCCTCCACCCAGGGCCAGGCTTGGAGCCAGGAGGCACACAGCTGGCTGAGCAGGATGGGCATGAGACCCAATGGGTGGAAACAGGTGTCACAGCAACGGATGGAGACCTCTGAGGAACCACTGGTGAGAGGGGCAAGAATCTGCTCTAATTTTATTGCTGCACGTTTCAATTTAAGGCAGGGGAGAGTTGCCAATGGGGCCCCTCCAGGTGAGCAAAGGCCACAGGGCTCCAGAGTGAAGGGCCAGGAGCGCCTGGCACAGCGGGACCCTGACCTGCAGCACTTACACCATCTGGTCGATGACCTGCTTGAGGTACTGGAAGTCGGCATAGTCTCCAGACGCCCCCAGCACTGTGTTGTCGTTCACCTTCATGATGCGCGAAATGTTGCGAAAGCGGGCAAGCGACCCGTAGGAGCCCAGCGTGTCGGCCGCCACCACCACGCCACCGTCGAACCGCACGCCCAGTACCGAGGTGCCCGTCACCATGGGGCTCCTGGGGGCAGGAGACACCTCTGCTCACACTGGCTCAGCCCCACCAAGGCTGCCACCCACCGCACTCTGGAGCCCAGCACCGCGCGAGAGACTGGGCTTCAGGAGACCGGGGCTGCGGCCCCCCACACACCTGCCCCTGCCCCCAGCCCAGGGCAGCCAAGACGGCCCATGGTGCCCTCAACAGAGCCCCCACCCCCGGCCAAC